GTGCATTGATTAGTCTAATTAGTTCAGCAATAAGAATCACTTTCTCCTCCTGCTGGGGTCTGGTATGTTGTGACCAACACAACCTGATTCTAGAGACATCAGAGGACTGACCTATGCAGAGACCTGGAATCTTTCAGGGTGTGCAACAATCCTGTTTAAGACCTCGCAATCAAAATCCTACTTCTGTTCTCACCTCTGTCAGTGCCCAGTGCCTCATTTATGGGGAGGCTGATGCTGTTCCAAGGTGCTGTAAAAACCCGAGATTTTCATTGCCAAAAATTGGCTGGGTTTATCCTAATTGCTCCAACTTTCACCCTTTCTTTCGTCTCCTCAACCTACAGGCAGCCAGGTGGCTGAATGTCAGCCAAAACTAAGAAGGATCTCTTTTCTTTTGAAGGGATGGGTGTTTGGAGATTTATCAGCAGCACAGTTGAATCTGCCCTGTGTAGCTTAGAAGGCCCACAGCATGTCGCTGGCATGAGCAGCTACTCCAGTGAGCTCCCACCTGAGTTGCCATTTTCTATTCCACATAAAACCACCCTTTGCAGTTTTTCGACATTAAATTATTATTAGTCACTTGTCCTAAAAGGTCAATGATGCAGTGATATTCTAGCAGAGTTTTTCTGTACTGTCATTTCCTATTAATTGCTTAGAAATAACGACAACATAATTTAGAACAAGACTGTCACCTTGTCTATGCCATATATAAAATGTTAATACTAAAAGTGGACTGGGTTCATCCTAGACCTAATTAGTTCTTTGGAGAATTTACTTTGTGCAGCAGCCTGGACTGTCCATATTGTTGTTAACATATTATATAATCAGCTTTGGAACAGGCAGCAATCTGAAGGCCAGGTTCTGTGTCCCTGTGCTAAGTCACTACCCTGAGGAGAGCACTGAAAATCAGCAGAATTTGACTGGAAAATAGAGTACAAATGCCTGGGTTTTCTAAGGAGGTGCAGAACAACTGATTATCTCCAAATCAACATTGTTTGCAAACTGTGCTCTTCAAGCATATTTTTATTGCTATATATATAGCAGAGATTTTACAAAATTAGTTAGATGTTCCCTTTTGCTGTCCAAAGTGGGTGGTGAAGTCATGGAACATGCTATTTTGGTAATTTGGAGCATGCCCCAGGAGCTGATTAAATGATCTCTCTTGCTCTGTATGTAAACTGTGCATTTCTATGCAAACACCAGAAGGGTCAGAGCTGCAAACATGAGCTTGTAGGATCTGCTCTATCTCAGTCTGGCTTTTTACTACCTGTTTATAAACACCAAACATATTTTAATAGACAATTACAGCTTGTCAACTGAAATACTCCCCTATAAAAGCAAACAGTGGATGAAGTGGAATTGCTACTGTGAACTTAATGGTAAGACATTTAACTATTATTTAGTGAGAGAGCTTTTTAAAAAAATCAAAGACCAATATTTGAGGTTTTGAAATTTCCTTTGCATGAATCATGTCTCCTCTGCTGGTTCTGGGCTTGAATAGGCCCAAGAAATTCCTCCCTGGCACAGATGGCCCAGAGAAGCTGTGGCTGCCCCTGGATCCCTGTAAGTGTCCAAGGTCAGGCTGGACAGGGCTTGGAGCAACCTGGGATAGTGGAAAGTGTCCCTGTCCATGGCAGGGGGTGGGATGGGCTTTAAGGTGCCTTTCAAACCAAACTATTCTGCAATTCCAGGGGTGGGATAGTGTGGCAAGAACATTTCTCTCCATCTTAGGATTTTTCATAAAGGTGCACAGAGAAATAAAAGTGAAAACAATTTCTATTTCTGCTCCTTGTTTTTCCTATGAAAATGTGTTTGAAGAATTGTTTACCTGGGGTGAGTGCTTGATTGGATTCTGGTTAGGATTGTTTGATGGCCAGTCCAACCCACCTGGGGCTGGACTCTCAAGAGAGGGTCACAAGTTGTATTAAGAGTTAGAGTCAGGAAAAGTAGTATGTAGTTTTAGTACCCTCCTTTTTATATATGTTATTAATATATTAATATATTTTAGCATAGTTACAATAAATAATTAATTCAGTCTTCTGAATTAAGTCAAACATCGTCATTTCTTCCCATTAAGTTCATCTACATTTACAATAGGATGGGATGGGCTTTAAGGTCCCTTTCAATAGGTTCCAAACTATTCTGTGATCCCATGATCCTGAACAGCATCTTCACCTCTACTTCCCATGGAGAAATTTGCCATCTTCCCTCAGAAATGGAATCAGTAAGAAGAAATCAACTGTTGTTTGTTTGTTCCTCAAACCCCTGGGAGGCAGGACCCTGATGGAGATTTATCATCCCACTCCTGGCTCAGGGGAGCATGGGGCAGGTACAGTTTGTCACCTCTTTCCCCACAGCAGCAGGTTCTCTGCTTCAGTCACTCTGCACTCTAGTTCTAAGGTTGTTCTGATGTATTTATCTTTACTTTGTTGCTCTAATCTTGTCTAAAGGAAACAAAATATCCTCAAAAATTAATCTGTGAGATGAAAGATGCAATTAGAGCTCCCATCCTTCAATCCTTACAGGTAAGTCCCTGTTACATAATAACTACGGGTGGGAGTAGGCCCTGTTTGAGCCATTTGTTCCAGTTCTCGGTTATGAATTGGTCAGGGAACTGAAACAGTGACACATGAAGGAATAATTCCCAGATCAGAGAAGAATTAGAGATCCGTAGGGTAGAATACAGGTATTTTTTGACATAGCACCAAACCAGAGATAAACAGCACAAAGTAGATTTGACACTTTTATTAACAAAGAACCCATGGGGCTCATTCATTAGTAGAAAATACAATCATGTTCCTGTATGTTAAACAGCTTTTTTTATTTTGTCTCTTTTAAACTGTTTCACAGTTATCAAAACAAAGCCCCTGCATATTGAACTTATTATTGTGCAAACAGTAATTATTTTTAAGGATCAATTTCTGCACTAAGCCAAGTGCCAGAGAGCAGAACTTAATCTTGTTTTCACCCCTCCTTTGAAGGGCCATGTGTGCTTCCTAAGAAACACATAATAGTCGACTTTTTTTGCAGCAAACAATCTAAGGCCACAGTTTATCTGCAAAGAATAGAAAACAACTCAAAGATTTTAGAAAAAAAAAAAAAAAAAAAAAAAAAGCACACCTTTACCCTTCATACTGCTGTTTGCTTGACCATTATTATACCAGGTAGCACACATTATCATGTATTACAGTCCAAAAAAGCACCTAATGTTCTTTAAGCTAATATTTTAAATTATTACCATGCAAGTTATTACAAGACCAAATTACTTTTCAAGTAACTATAATGGTATCTGTTTAAGGAAAAGATGCTTCTTCCCTTTCCAGATGATGTAAATGAAAATCCTGCATTGATTGTATGGGCAGGCCCTCACTTGAATAAATAAAAAGGCATGAGAGCTACACCTTGAAACTTAAATAATAATTTTTGGAATGTCCTTTCTAAATCATGCACTCAAATTTTGGTTAAAGCTGCATTTGCTATAGAAGACAATACTAAATATTGCAAATGAAAGGAGTAACTGCAGTTTAGAAATGTGAATCTCCAGCAGTCTGTCTTTCACACTAATGCAAAAGGGATTTGAGGTGCAGTGCTAGAAATTAGACAATGTAAGGAAGTTAAACTAAAAGAAGACTAAATATACGCATGTGTGTATGCCTGTAGAAAAATCCCTGCTTCTTAAGTGAAGAGACAGATTTCATAAAAAACATTTAGACTTTGTTTAAACTGCAGTTATTCATGGAATGAATTGCTATTTTTGTAGTTATCAGAAAGTACAGTTTGACCACATGAAGCACTGGGGTTTAACCCCAAACCCTTCTGTAAGACATATGGAGTATTTCTAGGAGTCCAAAATCCCCTGTATTTCAAAGACAGGACTGTAAACATGCATGTTGACAATGCTGTTTTCTGCTCCTGTAAGTGATCTGTTGGTGACTGTTTACTGATCCCAATTGATGGCTGGCAGGAAGCAAACACTCTACTTTTAAATGAAGGCAGCAGAAGGGCAAGTAAATGCTGTGCCTTCACTCTTAGCAGCAACAAACTCTCACTGTTCTAAATGACCTGAGGAAGAAAACATTAAAATATTGCACCAAAACAAAATTAAACAGCAAAAACAAACAAGGAAACACACCATCATATATAGTATGGATAGCAATTGACCAGTGCAGCCCCTGACAATAGATCTTTAGACAAAAATGCAGGAGTAATGAAAAGCTTTGTGCCATTACCAGAGGATTTTGTTCCCCTGATATCTGCTTTCACTTCAGTTATAAGCTATGTCTATTCTGGGTATATTTACACCTCTCCCTACACCTCATATCTCATTCACTAACCACAGAAACCATTTAGGGTCCCTTTTAGAACCTTGAAGTATACTGGAGCTTTAACAAGACTTTTTTTTGGTCTCAAATCTGACCGTAAGTAAATATCCAAAACAGAGGTAGGCTTATAAAGGCTTTTGAATAAATAAATATTGTCCACTTTGCCAAGTATACCTGCTGCTGGCAAAAGGTTTCTCCCTTGCCAAGCTTCCCCTTATCATGCTATCCATAGGCTTAAGATGCAGAAGAAGAACTCACAGTAGAAGAGGTTAGAGTAATTCCCTTAAGAAATCCCTTGAAAGAAAGCATAGTGCATAAGCTCATCTCAAAGTTCAGTTTGTTCCACACTTGTGTCTTGCATTCAGGAAATGGTTGCCTTTGTAATATTGAGTAACAGCCATTCTGTCATCCACAGCGGGTGTCCTCAGGATCGTGATGAATGAGGAAATAGTACCACTTGGCAGTTGTGAGAAGGGCAGGCTCCCATCAAACATGAAGTTAAGACTTCACTCTGTGTTGCAGTAGTGCTCCTTTTTTGGATGCAGACAGTGCAAAGCTTAAGCCCCTTGAACACTGGAATCTTTTGGAAATGTTTTCTCACCCCACATTCTGTTCTACTACAGGAGCTCTCAATGTCACTATGTATATTCTTCCAGAGCGTTGCCAACAAAATATAAATTCTTTTCCCCTCAGAAGATCCACACATCTCCTCCTCCTCGTACTTTGTGTAGTGTATCCACTTTTTGAAAAACATTCAGTATTTCACTGATGCATTTTTGTTTTATTATTTTCAGGTACTTCTCAAGTATCCCAAGCTCAGCTGCTCCTGTTATCCTCTGTGCAGACTAATCCAGCAGGTTCTCTTTTATCACCAAACGTGCTCATACCTCCTTCTCCATTTTCCTTTGCCTTTCTCATACACAGACTCAAGTTTTGAAAAAGAAAACTGTTTCCTTTTTAGCTGCACTACCAGCTTAAGCAGCAGAAAGATTAAGACATTCATCACAATGATGCTCATTACAAATCCTCAGAGCATGAATGAAACAGGCTGAACTTCTTCTACATCAGTTGGATGTGGATCAATCTAAGGAGAGAAGAAAGACAACAGTTACTGCCTGCAATTCTTGCATTTAGGTATGTTTGGGGTTTTTTTTTGCCATATGACAATAAAAACACCACCTGCTATTTATTTTCTTACCTCTGAATAAAGAGGTGGAGGCTGAAACCGGAACTCTTGTATGTAAGCAAATACAGGACAACACAACTGTTCCTCACAGTCAATGGGAGGTGGATAAGCAGGAACATGTCTGGAAAACTCTTCCTCAGACACTACATCAGCATAATTTGGTGGTGCTGAAACACAAGAGATGCTTCTGTCATACTGCAACCTATTCACTCACTCACAGCGAGAACATTACAGTATATCCAGGACTACAAAAACTTTATTGCAAGTGCACTGAACTCAGAAATACTGTAACTAAAAATATTTTTTCAGTAAACTCAAGTGATTCAGCAGGAATAGAGAGTGCTGTGCTTTTAGGACAACTCCAGCAGCAAACCTGTGTTGTATCAAGATATATTCAGTAATGAGTAGAATATTCCCACCATCAGAAGTTGGTTGTTTCAGTCAGATGGGGTATAGAGAGACTTCAGGAAGACTGGAGTTGGGGTAACCTCACCAATCATTCTGGATCTCAATTTAAGAACTTTGAGAGTCGTATTTCCATTGTCTACATCCCTGGCAGTGCCCTTAAACTGGCACTGCACCCATCTGCTGCAGACAGTGCTGTGCTGGATTAGAGACAGTTCAATATGTATTTATTACCTTCAGGGTGTTCAGGCATGGTCAATGCCAGCCAACTCATATCCATACTAAACTGGCTGGTAATGCTGGAGTTTCTGCTTGAAAATCCAATACATGGAATAGTGCCAATCACCACAGGCATTTCAATCATCAATTTCTTAGCACCAGGAATATGGATATACACCTATGTGACAACCCCCAAACAGAAGAAAAAAACATCATGAGACCCCATTGAATGCTGCTCTTAGAAGCTGCCCTACTCTCTACACTGCAAATTTTAAAATTAAGAGCTTTGTCATCCCAGATATGCTTAGCTAATACTCTGGCAGCTTTCCTTATTTTACTGCAGTTTCCTTCTTTCCATAACTTATCTCTAAGTGACATTAAAAAATAAAAACCATCCTGACAAACATAATTACAGACTTGACTTTCAGTCTTATCTTCCCATTTCTGGAAAGAATCACTTGAGCTTGAAACGCTCTCCCAAAATGTCTGAAACTAAGCTGCTTTTTCCTCAGAAACATTTCTCCCTTTTCCACATTATTCCCATCTTTCCATCTCGGAATCTCTTTCTGACCTTCAGTCTCTCATGTATGTGGTTGATGATATTTATTTTTCATAGAGTCATGGAATGGTGTGGGTTAGAAGGGATCTTAAAGATCATCTAGTTCTAACCCTCCACCACAGGCTAGGACACCTTTCTCTAGATTTGTATTTATTGTAGTTCCCAAGTTAAAAACCTAACAGCTACTCCATAAATTCTTCTATTCCCAATTGAATACACTATCTAAATTTTGTACATTTGAAAACCCAATACTTACAGCTAATGAATATTCTACTCTAATAATGCAGCAGTCAAGTATAGATGGGGATACAGGTGGGATTTTCAGAGTTTTCCCATTCCAGGTATCTGTACTCCCAGAGGCAATGTGGTTTCCTCGGACATTGGCAACCATCTGACGGAAGGTTTTTGTCTTCCCACTGGCCAGGTAAGTTTGTGTTTGGAAAATGGCAGCTTTTGGAACAATCAAACGAGAAGAGCAGTTCTCAATTTCTGCATAGATTGGGATGGCTTCCCCTTAGAAACAGAAAAAGTCCAATGAATAATTGGTATTTACCAACTTTCCTCTGGGAGTATCAAAGCATGTTACACAGCACGTACATCATCTGCACTGTTATGAGAACAATACTTGCTAAGTTTCCTCAAGCCAGTTTATTTTTTTCAGAGTGGTATCCAGGCAAAATTATAGCCACCTCTATGTTTTACACATAAACAATGATTCATTTTGAAACATTAAGCATAATATGAACAAGCTATAAAAGCTTTATTTGCAAATTACGCCCCAATCTTCCTTTTATATAGTACTAAATGAATTTCAGGATGTTTTATTTTCTCAATGTATCTAATGTTATCAAGATGAAGAAGCTGCTAAAGCTCATTCTTACGAAAGTGTAAATCTACAAAAATAGGATGTAAAAACCTAATTACATCCCAGTTAAGTATTTTATCCCAGATAAAAATATTTTGTTGTTCTTTACACACAAATGTACATGGATTTCCCAAAAAATTAACAGGACTTCCTTTCAATTTATATTCCCAAGGGGAAAGATAAGATTATTTTTTTTAAAAAAATCAAATTCATATGGATCTTAACTTACTTCTATTAAAGAAAACTATTTTTTGAACTACAAAGTGTTGGCTTCACTAAGATTAAAAAAACCCCAAACCTATTAGGTGCTTAGTATTCGTATTTTTAAGATAACTATTCTTACCATTACAGTATCCCTTCCTCTCAATTTTGGCACTGAGAGACACTGGCCCAGAGGTGAAAAACCAACAGCCAACCATCTTCTCCTGACTTCTTAGAACAGGTGTCTATAAAATATACAGTATTTTTCATTTTATGGGATAAAGCTCTCAATCACTTGCAGTTTAGTGTTATGCATATCAGTCATTGCAACCCAGCTCTAAAATCCATGTGATCTGAATCCCTGAACTGCTCAGTGCAACTGTAGTTTTTGCCACCATGTGAAATGGAACCAAGGTTTGGCAATCTGAACATTTATCTTTTCAAATTTCAGTCTGTATTTAGACTGAGATTTAAATACAAGCCAGTGTGTCTTCAAAACTAACTTTTTAAAGGTCTCATGAAATACTGTGGTGTTTATCTCCATTTTTCTCAGTGCAGAAGAAAGCAGAATTAATTTTATGTGCAAACAACTAACAGTTAAGCAGGTAATATTTTTACTTTTTTATCTTTAAGAAAGGATAAAGATATGTAGACACTGGGCTAAGGGGATGCACCTTCATTACCTGCAAGCCACAAAACCCTCCCAAAAATGTAGAGGCATGACAAAAACCATCTTAGTTATTCAAGGACTGTCACACTGGACGACATTTACACTGCCTGTAACGTTTTCATTAGAATAAACTCACAAGCACACATGTCAAGTGTCCAAGCCAGGATTAAAGCTACTCAAAATGGTTTACTGGGAAGTGGCATTCAGTCAATACAATAATGCAAATTGCTTTTGTATTTTGTTTATTAGAATGAAAAAAGCCCTGTTGTTTTGCACTTTTGGTGGTAGCCTTGGAATCCATTAAGATTGGCACTGCCTTCCTGATGTGTCCCACAGGCCTCCTCTGTAAATAACCTATGGTCTGCTTTGTCCTTACAGAACATGGCTATGATGCCTTCAAACTCCTGAATAGAAATTCTGCTTACAGATGTCACTGCCAAAATACCCTAAGTTCTCTCTAGAATGGATTAAAATGTAAGCATGTAATGAGGGGGGAAAAAAAAGCCTGCTCAAAACATCTCTTTTCTATGTTCACGTCATGATGTTAAAATTATCCTACCATTTTAAATAAAACAGAAATTACTCATTCATATTTAAATGAATAACCATTTAGATCCAGTTGCTATCATGAAAGTGCAAGGTATAATTTTATATTATTTTCATAATATGGGTTGAGATAAAAGAATCCAGCTCATTAGCTTCCATCTTGCCTATTTACTCATTACTTAATGCCTGATCTTTCTTATTACTCTACAGTATTTCCAGTGATTATTAAAAACTCAATGCTTTAATGTGGCCAAATCTGTCATAGGGAAATAACTGAAAGGATCTCTGGAGCAGCTGCTGCACACACTTCATGTTAGAAAACGACATGCAAAATGCAGGGATACGTAACATAATGGCCAGAGCCTAAATGACAGGCTGGGCATGATTAATACTCTTCTCTAATTACTGCTCCTCAACCTACTATTATTGTAGAGTTTAGGACACTGCAGCCCTGTGAATGTAGTTGCTCTGGTAAGAGTAACTACTCTGCACACATACATTACTATTATTAAGCCTTATTTATGCATCTGAAGCCTGCCTAACTTTTTGGCAGGAGCATCTCTGCCAGCAGGGATGTAATCAATGGTATTAAAAAAGCCACTCTTGTTTGCTATTCACCCAACCTAAGATAATCTATTTATAGAAAAAAGCTTAGGGAGCTTATATGCTTTCAGAAGTCAGAAAATGATGCTCTGCAATAACATGGGAAGGGTTATGGCTGCATGGGAATGCTGCTTGGAAATGGTTTATTTGCAGCTGGTTTTACAGCGGGGAGGAGGAGTGGGGGACCCTCTTACCAAGAGAGCTGGTGAGTTGACATCGATATGGCTGATGATCTGCAGCTCTGTCTGCACACTCTGGTCAGGCACAGCAGGCCTCTCCAGAACTGCTTTCACATAGTACTGGATACTGCCATACTTCCCAGTAAAAGAGGTCACCAGAGGTCTGCAACAAGGAGTCATAAAACCATTACCTTCAATTAATAATTCAGCTCCAAACATTAACACTTCCTGCACACATCAATGTTTCCCAATTTACAGCTTGTACTTTTAGGGCCTTGGGGAAGAAGCTGAAGCAAGCAAGGCCTGTCTACACAGTGCTTGATTAAGACAAACATATAAAGCTGATACTAAAAAAAACACAAGTCAAACTACATTAAGTTAATGTTCCCCTAGAAGCAGCATCCAGCACAATCCCTTCAGGTTGGATTACTGAACTTACTCTTGAGGGAGCTGAAAGCTGAACGGAAATTCGTGTCTTCCATCTAGAAGAATTAAGTTTTCCTCACCTGTAGGATAAGAATGAATACTATGTTTTAGTTATTCCAGAAATAGAACAAAGCAGACACTTTTATAAATTATTTATGTATGAAAACACCCAGATGCAAGAAGTTTTTATTGATCCCAGTGGGTTCTGGACTGTGGCCCACACTTTATTTATGCTGTGATGTGATTTCAATGAAAAACAAAAATCAAGGAAACATGGGAGACCTTGAGATTCAGCTCAGGACTCTGGCCAATTTCTAATCCAAAATGGCTTCTGCAAAGCATAAAGTAAGTTTATTTTCAGCAGGACAGCAATTAATCTACTTTTCCAATTAACAAATCAACTTATGTCTGAAAAAATTGCAATTTAAAGTCAGCACGACAAAATACTATAAATACATGAGCTCCCAATTTATTCATACAGGGCCTACTGTTACACAATTTACAAGGCCTGAATCTCCTTTTCCTACAGTTCATCCTGAGCTGCGTTTCACCCGTACAGAACGAAATGTCGTTCTTCTGTCTTTGATTTTTTTTCCCCGCTGCCGTAGTGCTGCAGTGTCTGAGCGACAGCGAGTTCCCCTGCCTCTCCTTAACCCGCTGGATGAGCCTGGCTGCTTCCAGGGTCTTCCACGGCAGCTTCCAGGAGCTGCTGCTTGTGCCGCACACCCAGCGCGGAGGGATGGGCGCACGGAAGGGCCGAGCCCCTGCACGACTCGCACACAGCGCAGGGAACCGAGTGCGGCTTTTATTTTATTTCCATTTTACTTTATTCCAGTCCCGCTCGGCATTTGTCAGCCCGCACAGAGGGAATCGCGGATGAGGCAGCGATCCTCCGCGGGCACACGGCAGCGCTGCCCGGCCGTGCCCGCTCCTTCGGGCGCCGCTGGAGCGATCCCGCTCCGCCTCCCCTCGCCGCCTTCCCGCGGCGCCGCTCCCCCGCTCCCACCCGCCGCGGCTGCGGCAGGGCCGGGCCCGCGCCGCGCTCACCTTCGGGCGGGTCCCGCAGGAGGCTCTGCCGGATGTCCAGGTACCGCACCTCCGCCTCCCGCCGCGGCCCCGGGCCCGGCGCCCGCACCGCCACCCCCCAGGTGCCCGCCCCGGGCACCGCGCCCGGGCTCTCGCTCCAAGCGACGCGCGCCCGGCCCGCGGCCTCCAGGCGCAGCCCGCGGAGCGGCAGCGGCCCCGCCAGCTCCAGCAGCACCTGCCCGGACACCGTGTCCCCGCTGCAGTAGCCGCCGCCGCCGCCGCGCCGGGCCTCGTCCTCCAGCACCAGGGCCAGCGTCTTCACCGCGCCGCCGGCCCCGGGGCCCGGCCCGGCCGCCGCCATCGCTCCCCGGCCGCGGGGGAACCGCGCCCGCCCTCGCCCAGCGCTTTAAACGCGCCCGTCTCCGCCTGCGCCCGCGGCGCCGCGTCCCGCCCCCGCGCGCCGCCCATTGGCCGCGCCGCGGCCCCGCGCGCCGCCATTCGCCGCGGGCCGCCCCTGCGCCCCCGCCTCATTGGTACGCGGCGGGCGCACGCCCGGAGTGCGTCACGCTGCGTGATCGCTGCGCCGGGGCCAATCGGGCGCGGGCAGGAGCGCGTGGACAGCGCGGCGATTGGCGGGGCGGCGGCAGGGCCCCGGCGCGCCGACCAATGGCGCGGCGCGGCCACCACGTGCACAGCCTGTGGGTAAACAGGGAGCGGGGGCGGGGCCGGGGCGGGGCTCTCGCCCCTCGGCCCTTCACGCCCCGCCGTGACGGGCCCCGGGCGGCGGCGGCTCGGGCGGTATGTGCCTCGCTTCGGCTGCTCCTGGTCACTGCCCGCCCGCCCAGCGCTGTGGGAAAGCCGTGTGCCCTCGGCGACCCCGCGCTCAGGGGAGATCGTGTCTCTCGGTGTGCCCCGGGTGCTGCCGCGGGAGAGAGGGAGGCAGCGCGGCGCTCTGGGTCTGTCTCACCCTCGCCCGCTGGCAGCCGGGCTGGCTGGGACTGTTAAATTCGGAAAAGCGATGGTGGTGCTGTTAAATTCGCAAAAGCGGTGCTGCTGTTCCCCCCCCCCCCCCCCCCGCGTTTTGCCTGGATGTTACCTACCCCTTTTCACCCCACTGAAGGGCAGGAGGTCAAGGGGTTTAGCTCTAAATAAACCGTCCTGGACAGCGTGGAAACCCTCGTGCCCGGCGCACAAATACTGTGTTTCTGCACATTATAAAGCAAAAAGCTCCCTGGTTCAACAACTTGCTCTTACAGCCCCGCTTGGTACCTGGGCAGTGAAGTGGGTGCACCCTGCTGTGTGCTGTCCCACCTGAGCACATCATCCATAGGTGACACTTGGAAGGTAGAATAAAGAATAAATGCAAAGTTTTGCTGTTCTGTTTAGAAGCAGAAGCTTAGGAAACCCCTGCAGACAGTGGAAGAGCGGTGAGTATGTCAGAGTTGCTGGAGGGGTTGAGTATGTCCAAGTCGCCCACCTCCAGCCAACCCAAGCCCTGCTGCAAACCAAAATGCTTCAATTCTGCTGGACACATGCTGCAATTAATGCTGTTCTTGGCCTTGTGTTGTTTTACGGTGGCCCAGGCTGACAGCAAAGCATCTCCCAGGAGGTGTGTGAGGTGGGTGATCTGCCGGCTTTTCCATGGGTGACCAAGGAGTCATTTCCTGCTCCGTCACCTGCGTGCTCGAAGCTTCTGACAGCTGCATCTTCCTGCATTCCTCCATCCCTCTGGGGCGCTGCAAAACACTGGCCTGGTTCTTCCCAGCTGACTCAGTTAATTACTGAAATTAGCAAAACTCGTCTTCAGCCCTTGGCTTTTAAATAAATAACCAATAAGATAAATCCAGGTTTCCTCAGAACACTTGTGGGTCCTGTGAAATGTAGCCTCCTATTGAGAGTTCCTTCTGTGAGGAACTTGCCAAAAGCCAGGTAGGCCTTTGGAACACTTTTTGTTGGCTACAGGTTCATGCACACATGCATGTTAATCAATTGTGACCTGGGGAAAAGGAATGTGCTTACAGATGGGGTGAACTCATGGGCTTTGTTTCAACCTTTGGCCATGCATTCTCCAGCTTGTGATGAAAATTATGTAAAGAAAATAACTCTGTTATGATAGTGGTTGGTCAAATATTGACAGAATTGTTGCCTGTTCACGTCCCTTTGTGCATTTGAAATAATTCTTTACATAAACTGCAAATGTTGCATTGTAGTTGGGATTTGTGGGGTATAAAGTTGTGCTATTTTGGTATTTTTTTAAGTTCAATTAAACTCAGACGTGGTTAGTTTTGCATCAATCTTTTCCTTGTATGCAGTTTTTCACATTGTCAAGTATCAGGTTAGTTTTGTAGTCAGCCAAGAGACCATGCTTGGATGTGCAGATTGAATATTTGCTTATTTGATGAATTTCATTAGGTACAATATGTGTATGTGCAGACTGATTTTGAGAGTACGATACAGAGGGGAAAAAAAAAATCGGAATCCCACAACTCCCTTTTTTCTGCATGATTTAGATCCTGTATAAAAGTAATTAATTCTCTTATGGGATTATGCGACTATTCAAACATTGCCTCTCTTTCATTCTTTGCAAGTGCAAATGAGCTAGATAGGGAAATGAATAAACATGGCAAATTGCTTATGAAACAAAACATTACCCAGAATTAGAGAGAGCTGGGAGGCTTCAGTAACTCCAGCAATTAGCCTGTAGAGGACACAGTTAATAGGCACATTCTGTCACAGTCAGGTGGTACTTGTTCCAGATTTTGTTTGCCCTTTAATATATATATTTTTTTTTTTTCCAACAAGAATCAAAAACCAGGACTTGTTGTAATTATCATGGAGTGATTGGTTTTCTCATCTACCCATCTTTCTGGTGTTTGAGGCATTTTAGCTGACCCACACACAGTGATGTTGTAGCATGAATGGTGGAAACCACTACATGGCTATTTTAGTCTCTGGCAAGCCAGAAGGAAGGAAGAAGAGATGAACACTCACAGCATGGGTGTTTGTGTGTGCCTGGTTATCTGAGTGTGGGAGTAGGTGTGACAGAGCAAGAGATATATTAACATGCCTGGTTATATTTCATTCCACTCATTTTGCTGCTTTATTCAGGACTGTGTTAGAAAGAGCTGCCTGAGAAAACTTGGATAATGCAAAAATTAGCTTGTAAGAGTAAAGAATAGACAAAGAAAGGTCTCGTTGGCGAGTATCCACAAAGCTGTGAACAGCTCTAGCAATAATCACAGATTCATCATGAAGAGAAAGGAAGTAGGAGAACATCTTCCTAGAGTAACTGGTGATATCCTTGCTCTGCTGGTTAATTTAGAAATGGCTGCTGTGGCCAGGTCACTGAATTTAGATGGATAGTTTCTACATGCAGTAATCATGTTTTAACTCATTTCACTGCACATGTTGAAAACAGGGCTATCAGGGCTTGAACCTGACAGAAGAGTTCTGGAAAGTGTGAAAGTGTGGAATTGATTCCAACTTTCCACAATGGAAGGACATGCAATATGTAAATAACTTTTTTTTTTTTTTTTTTGGTGGAAGATGTAAGATAAGAAATGGTCTCAGTAACAGCTTCTTGTGCCAAGGTTTCTGTTTTCCAAGAATCCAAGCTGTAACTGGGAAGGAAGTGAGAAACTTGATGAGTATTTGCTGTCTTCTTCCTGCTTGAGGGGAGCTGAGACACAGCTCTTCATCATGAGTCAGGCACCAGCAGTTTGCCAACTAAGCCTTTCTGTTCTTAAGAGCCTGGCAGTTTACAGAGTGAAGAGCTATTTCTGCTACTGGAAGAGGACTTGGGGAAGTGTTTATGAGAGCTGCTAACAGCTAATTTACAAATTGCAGCTCTTATTTGAGATTGTTGTGCTTTAACATCCATTCAAGCATCTTTCTTAGCCAGGACCAAACACAAGGGGCAAAATCCCAGTGTCTGAGCTGCAGCTGAGCTCAGTGGAAGAGCCATGAGCCAGGATGTGTGTGGGTGAACAGTATGCAAATCCTGACTTTTTTGCATGGGAGGGGAGATTTGTCCATTTACCTCATCCTTTATGTGCAAAGAACTTCAGCTATCTCAGTGGCTCTGACAGATGTTAGGAAGCAGCTGGCTGAGAGCAACGCTTACCCCTGAAAGCAGATATTAGAGGCACTAGAGTTCCACAAAAACCCTCAGAATATAATGCCTTTTGTTATCCCAGATACCCAGGAATCCTCATCCTGGAGTTGTTTGTGGAGTCAGGACAGGGAGGCATGAGAGACAATTCCTTTTTTTCCCTAGTTCTTGGCCTTTTACCAGCGAGTTCCTTTATCAGCACCGTGCCAGAACTGCAGCCCTGAGTGGAGCATGAATTCTCTCTGGCCTCCCAATCAGCACGAGAAGGCAGCAAATGGGTGCTGGTGACACTTGCTGTCATGGACAGTCTTTTATTGCTTTTATTTTATTACCAGTAATTGAAAGGTCAGCCAAATTTTTCTTAGACAATTAAGTGACATTTACAGAGAGGAGATTGAGAGGAGGCAGAGATGCTTTTCTAAGTGATGCTGCCCAGCTAGTCGGGTGTGTTACTACAGCCAGTGTGTAAAGCACCAGGATGGATGTTTTTAAGGGTTGTGCTGTATGGGGTACATTGCGAAAAACAAATTCTGAGGTACTTTCCCAGTAATCTGAGGGTTTTATCTGGGCAGGTGTTAGTTCACACAGCCCAGTTTGACAAAGCACAATTGCCTTGAAGGCCAAAAGACCAATTTGAGTTAAAGGTTATGTCTGAAAACAGAAAATCACAAATGAAAGTAGGGAAGCCCATGCAGAATCTGAGGCAGAGGAAGGACAGAGTAGGTTGCCACGAGGCTGATGACAGAGAACCAAACCATCAAGGCTCGTGCACTGAGTCATGGGCTCACACAACTGCCACACATCCCATCCTTACCTTCCAAGGGCTGGGAGAGGTGTGTCCCATCCCTGCCTCAGGAGGCTGGGGCAGAGGGGAAGGTGGTGCAAGCTGCAGAGGGTCCTTTCTACAGAGCCAGGACCGTCTGTGTCACCTCATGAGGTGGCAGCACCAAGCAGGCCCACAGGATAAATGTCCCCAGTGTGTCAGTTCTGTGCATCCCAACATGTGATGGATCATCATGTTGTTTCATGTGCTGCTAAAGAAAACACTGGAGTGACCTGTTGTTTACTTAAATATTTATATAGTGATTCAGAGTGCAGGATCTGTTACAGCTTGTTCTGGCATACAAAAGTGATCTAAATCCAGCTGGGCAGCAGAGGACTGCTCCAGGGTGGTTTTGGATGTTTACAGCTGCTATAGGTTTTGCAAGGAGCGTGAGTAGAGAAAAATAATGGATGTGGTTAGAACATCTCT